CGGAAGATGGTTAAAGCCAATCCAAGATATTTGCCCTTTACAATCATTGTCTGTACGTAAAATACAATAGAGATGCCAGGCACAATTGGCTGAGTACAGCTATACTGCCAGGTTGGGCAGTTTCACATCAGCTGGTTTGAGGCGCAGGACTAGAGCAGTGGAAATAAGGAAGGACTAAAATGGCAGATCTCTTTGAGGACAAAAGCTTCTGATAGTTAAATATATAGATGGTTTAAACTCAGATTGAGGGGTGGGGAAATATTCACTCTAGAAATGTCATCCCCGTTAATGTTCATCAAAATCCACACTAGTTTATTAATGGTTTTGTGCCACCGAGTCCCCAAAGATACTTTTGAAATACTCCACAATATATTACAGTATTTGCAAAACATGTAATAATAATCCTTACATTTGGTATAGCGCTTTTCATGTCTTCTAGACATCTCAAAGTGCTTCACAGAATATACTGTATATTTTGTGGGCGAAATGCGGCAGCCAATTGCGCACAGCAATGTCCTACAAACAGTCGTGGATTGAGTGACCAAATTATTATTGTTTTTTTTTCTTGAGGTATTTTCTTAGTGTTGAAATCCCTCCATTCCTTGGCAACCCCCTATCTTTCTAACCTGTCTCCTCACAGTAGTACGCGCTGCCTCCGCTCTACTGGGTCCGGCCTCCTCCATGTTGCTCGAATCCTGCGCTCCACCATCAGTGACTGTGCCTTCAGCCACTATGCCCCGAAACTTTGGAACCCCCTTCCTCAACCTCTTCGCCTCACCCCCTCCTTCCTCATCTTCAGATCGCGCCTGAAGACCTTCCTCTTCGACCGCGCCTACAGTCACCTTTCCCCTCACCCTGTCTCAGCTTCAGGCTCCGCTATGGTTAAGCGCTCTGAGACTCCACCCAGCATGGCGGTCGCTACATAAATGCAAGTTGTTGTTGTTGCTGTTGGGTTATTATCAGGCGTGTGGAGTTAGGAAACTTGCCCAAGGTTTTGCCGTGCTGGGAATCGAACCCAGATCTCTCGCTTACGAGGTGAGCGCTCTGACCACTGAGCTACAGGACTCCTAGATGTAGGTGACATCTCGTGGCCAAAAAACATAAAAGAAAGTGATCCTGCAACACGTGTGCTTGAGAATTTGGCTCTTGTTCAGATCTTTATGTTCTTGTTCAGGAAATTCCACAAACCCAATCACACCCAAGTCAAACCCAGACTTTTGGCATTACCCTGACATGTGATTTTCTGGGCCTTCACTCCCACACCCTTTGTATATTTATCCACACCTATTTTGGTAATGTCAATGTGATAATTTTATTAGAATATATTAGAATAGAGGCAATTATAATTTTTGAGAATTATGGGATCCAAAATGTACTACAAAGTTCAACTTTATTAATGAAAATGATGCAAAATGAATGCTTAGAAATTTCAAAATATACAGTATTATAATAGTATCAATTTTGTTGCAGTCATAGACTGTGTCTATGAAATAATCAGCCAGGAAATTTAAATGCACAAATTGCTTTATTTTTTACTGCATTATTTTATATATTACTGACATTGTGTTCTTTTTAAGAGCAACCTAAGTTTTATTAGCTTGTATAAATTTTAAGGAAATATTTAAAAATAAAATTTTTAAATTGTGAAATATTTTAAAGAATATTATTTGCACTCCCTTTCAATAGGTTACAACTAAACTTTTTTATTGAAAATTGGATTTTACAGTTGTGCAAGTATACTCTAAACACTGTGCAAGTTGTAGATTAACACTACAGATGCTGCTCTAACAAATTACATGTTAAACAATTCTAGAGGCCCCTTCAGCTCTTGGGTATGTTGCTGTGTTTCAATGACAAAGATTTAGTGATTATCCTAAGTTATTTACTGCCCAATGTGTTGTTTCTAAAATATACAGAGCGGGGTTTCCAACATTCTTGAACCGGAAATATTTCTCATTGAAAAACACTTGTACTAAATTTAAGGCAGGAAAAGAACCCAAAAGTTTTGCCCCTGGAATGAAACTTGAATTAAAATCTTTCTTTGATATTAATCCTTAATTACAATAATATTATTAAAACCAATAGTTTGTAGTCTCCAATAGATAGGTAACAATAGGCTATTGTATTCGTAGCCAAGATTTAAAAAAATTCACATATGCAATCTTTACAATTATACCTTCAATACATGTACTGAATACATGACACCATACATGTAAATATTCCACATCTCTAGCAATCCTGCAAATTAAAGATTCAATCTGCTTCACTTTCAATGTGGAAATCCCAGGGATGGTATTTATGTATTAGGATAGTTTATTAAAGATTTTTGAGATTTTTGTAAATGCATTCAACGGAATTGTCTTTTCTAATTTAATACATTTGTTGGTGAAACTATATTCAGAGGTGAAACAAAATGTTCCATAAATCACAATTTGATTTTGTTTAAAACACATTGCGGTTGCACAGTCTTCAGAGTGAATAAAGAAATTGTGAAAACTTGCTTTCTTACCAAGAGAACAGCATTATTTAAACTAAGATTCTTTCAACAATGGTATTTGAAAGGATTGATTTTTTTAAAAAGCCTGTGTAATTTGGTCAGCATTTTTTTTATTTGGAGTTTCATTACTTTTCTATTATTAATTTTAAATCAAAGATTCAAAAGCTATTAAAAATATATAGAAAATGCTGCGAAAAGTATTGCTTTGTGTGTTCTCTTTATCTCTATGAACATTCTGCAATTTAAGTCATGTCATTTCATACCTTAGGAAATCACAATTTCCCCCCCAAATCCCCCCCAAATTCGGAGTATAACATATTGTCCAAAATTGTTTAAATGACCTCCACTTAAGTTTATTGTGAAATGCAACAATTACATGAATGATTTGCCATTGACTGGTCAGAATACTGTGCCAAGCATCGGTTTAATGTGAGTATTCTATGTCAATACTGATGAGGCGTTAAACATCTCCTGTGGTTGTGGGCTAATCATTTCTTAGTACTCAAGAATTGCCTTACCACTCGGGATTCTTTAGATTTACAGCTAATATGCCTTCAGGTTTGAGGTTTTTAAAAATATACATTTTTATACATCTAAATATGAACTTGAGATTTAATATTTCCTTTAAAGAAACCTTTTCTTCAGGACACATTTCATTTGAGGGCGACAGATTAAAAAAAAAGTGACACAAATCTAAAGAGAGTGTTTGACAAAGTTATAGACAGTTTGTTGATGAATTGTGCAGCTTGTTTCCTGAAGCAATGTCATAGTGAGGAGGCAGTTTGTGTGCGTGTGTGTAGGTTTGCAATGTTTTATTGGCTTAAATCCATCAACCTTCCAGTCACTAAAGATTTATTATAGTTAGATTACATTGTCTTTTTCCATAAATGTTCTCATTTAATTTTTTTTCTATCCCATGTATCAAATATAAGTGGGGAAATAGTCAGACTAAAAATAAACAGTTCACATTTTTAATCCATAGTTATTTATGATCTACCTCCTCGAGCGTTAAAGCTGGGTTCCGTTGAATTTGCTCCAAATCCTAGACTTTAATTTGATTTGCTTCAACAACATAAATAACATAATCGAAAACTCAACTTAGATATAAACAAAATACCACTGGGTTGATGAAGGGTCTCTGGTCTCAGAAGTAAATATAAAAATATAGTTAACTTTCTCCAATAAGTCTGTTCGGTCCAATGAATATCTTTTCACTCAAATCCATCCACATAGGTTGTAGTTTAGTCCCTTCTGGTTTGAGTTCCTCATCTCAGTTACATTTATGCTGCTGTTAAAATGTTACCAGAAGTGAACCACTCTGATTTAAGTAAGGAAGAGCTGCAAATGCTAATCTCATTTTTGCAAACAGGAACGCAGCTGGAGTGGAAAAAGTGCAACACTTAACTCAGTTCTCAATTGCAAGTGTAAACACCATTACATCAATCCATTTGGTTTTGTTTATTCTAAATGGTTAAAATGGGAGAAGTCATGCCACAGAGCACACAAACCCTGGACTCCCAGCTATCAAATAAAAAAAACACACAAAATGTTCCCACCCTTCCATGTTGTAAAGTAGATTTAACACTTTTTCCACTCGGTCTGCTTTTCTTAAAATAGTAAAACTGGAGGAAAAAATAGATTTGAGCATATGCTTGGCCAGATTTAACGAAAAAACTCAAAACGTTGCTTGAACCCAAATGAAGGCAAATAGTGTGTAAATCACTAGCCTGATAACAGGAAGAATATTGCCTTCCCAGCCATCAGTGCCTGGACCCGGGCAGAGTTCTTACCTGAGCTGTGATCTGATGGATCACAGGGATCGTTGCTAATAATCCATGTCATCAACGAACACAAATTACACCAAGAGATTAGTGTCCATCTACTTCCAAGGATTACCCAGAAGAGTGTCTAATAGTGAAGGATCCAGAGCAGCTCCATGATGCTCAACAACCGACATAAATACACTTTGAGATAAGGCCAGAATCACTTCACCTCCGTTCCATCTTCCAATTGCCCCCATTTTACTTGACGAAGGACAAGCCATCAATGAATAACTTTAAAATTAATGACAATTTCAATAGTTTAAGAAACAAAATGGTTTTAACTGAAAAAATACAAATGTTATAAAACTTTTTTTTCTTTTAAATGACACAAAATATTGGCAGCCAAATCTGTGTTTGTCCCCCTAATTATTTTAACTTGGTACCCGGGATGCAATGCATTGTCAGAGTTGTCATTCTTTGGCCGAGAAATTAGAAGATTGGTCTCTTCTGCCCGTTCAAGTGGACATTAAAGAACTTATGGCACTATTGGAAGTTTCTCCGTGTGTCCTAGCCAACCATTCTCCAGCTAAGTTGATTAACTTCAACTTCATTTGTAGGACATTACCATAAGTAAATTATCTATCTTGTACATCGTCAAATACAGTCACTACACTTAAGCTCTCTGCTAGGGAGTGCTTTGAGACGTTTTGATGTGGGAGGTGCTATATCAAACACAAGGATTGCTCTTGTTATATTTATTATACTCAATTAAAAANCATTCACCTGGGGCATATACATGAGTACATTTTGATCACAGAAAAAAANCGTTAGCGCATAATATTAATTGAAACCCCGATTCATAATCCTCGTTTTTAAACCTGGGGTCATTTAGCTCTCTATAACACGAGATCCTTGCTTCCAAGTGAACTAAAGCAAGCATCCAGGTGATTCTTCGTCACTTCTTCAAGCTTTGCTGGTTTCCAGATCGGTCTTTGGTCTTTGTCAATCAGAACTGTTAGAAGAGATAAGTGGTGTCAGTCCCATGAAACATTTAAGACATCAATCGATGACTTTTAGGTCATGGAACCACAAACTGCAACACTGATCACCGTTTACGAATCTAGCATTGTATTCCTTTGAGGTCCTCTGTTTTATCTTCATATTTATAATTTCTGGGAGAATAATGAATTCAAAAGGGTGTCTTGCGAGTGGTATTAACAAACCTGATTTGTTGAGTTAATTGTAGCTTCCAGTGTGCAAAATTATTTCATTGACCATTGTTAATTTGGAATTCAAAGAAAATGTACTCAGTATAAAACAAATCTGTTTTACAAATATTGTAAGGGTACACCATTAGGGATACAAATATATTCAATCTTATGTTTTATCCTGTAGCTGTGTCATAACAGCAGTTTTACAATGATCTCAGTGTTAGGGAGGGTTTTCACTCCTAATCACTGTTTGGTGACCCATGGAAGCATTGACGTCAAGTGATAGGATAGGCTTGGATGAAGCAAGGCTGGGATGAAGCTTGCCAGCAGGTTATTCAATTCTAAATACACTTTCCAATGAGAAATAAAAATACATTCAATACTAATGAGACAAATGCCTTGTCTTAGAGATTGGGCTGAATTGAATCAGCTGTCATTGTTAGAGCACAGTTAATGAAGATGAATGAACATATGTGTTATCCTTAAAGGACACTGCTGAACAACACACCATGGCCATGAAGCACATCATAAAGCACGTTTTGTCATTCACTGCACCCAATTTGTTGTGAGGTTCATATTCCCACACGGAATTGGTAAAGCCTTGAACATAGAAACAGGAGTAGAAATTTCAGCCTGTAAAGTCTGCTATTTTATGTGTTATTTTGGGACACATTTTAATCCAAATTTCCTGTTTTCTCCCCCATATTCCTTTCATACTTGGATTACCCAAAAGAACATTGGGTTGATTTAGATTCATTTTTAAAAAACAAACCTCAGAAATATTCCTTTTTTTCCTCCACGCCCCATACGATATAAACCAGAACACACTTACACAGTTGCTCATTAATTCTATTCCTGTAAAACACATTCAGTAGCAGTCTATTCTGTAAATATCCAGAGTCACTTATGATATGCTGTTAACTCGAGCCAAGTCTTCACGTGACTGTTCTATTCTGATATTTGCTACTGAACATACAATTTGCTCTAAAATGCTTGTAAAATATTAATTCTAATCTATTTGCTCTATTTCTGGAAAAAAAAAGCTGGAGTACAAACTAAGCCTATTTATGCTAGATCCGAAAAAATTGCATTTGACAGAATTCGCAGCTGTTCTGCACTAAAACTGCAATGTAAACCAAGGCAAACACAGGGAATCACACAGTAGCGGATCCAAGCTATGGCGCCAGAGAGTGGTTTGATTCAATCTCTGGAACAACAAGTACTGCTACGTACCACCAAATTGAATCAGAGTCCCTAAGGCTTCGGTACAGTTGCAATGTAAAAGCACTGTTTGTACAGCACCATTTTTTCCGAGCCATTGCTGCAGATTAAGTGCTGTTAATCTTGCAGTTTAATCCTTCAGTGAGCATGTCAGCACTCATCAGATGCACAGAGGTCACTGCACCATTGCGCAAATAAAAAACGATGAAGATGGGCGAGGGTGGATTTTAGTTTTTTTTAATAAAGGATTGTCTCAAGTGATTGCGTGTCCACTCGAGATGTTCACGGAACGGAATAAAAATCCCAAAGGATTGGAAAATAGCAAATGTTAGTTCTAATCTTTGATAAACAGTGAGGGAAGAACGTTAAAAACTGCAGCCTCAAGATTTGCTGAAGATTGTGAGGAAAAGCCTTGAAGCAATATTAAGAGATATCTTGAAGCGCACAGGTTCAATAGAGCCAGTTCGAATGATTTTAACAGTGGGAGGTCGTGCTTTACAAATTTATTGCATTTCTTTGAGGAATTTACAGACCTGGTGGAGTGAGGTAAGGCAGTGGGTGTCATTGGCCTGGGTTTTAAAAAGCAATGACACTGTTCCACGCAACAGACTACTAACTGCATAAGGTTGCCTATTCTGGGATGGATGGCAAATATCAAAATGGTCCACTTGGCAGAATGCAATGTATGGTGGTGGATGGGAAAGTACATGGCCAGGAAATGATAGTCAGTGACCACACCATTACTTCCAATTTTCATAAGTGATTTTGAGATGTATCCTGGCAAAAAGTCCCATCTATAAATCGCGTGCAACACCAAATCAAGAATAGCAGCAAATGATGAGAATCAATACCCTTTAAAGCTACAGTTCTGCAAATAGGGTTCATAGGATTGGTCCAACCTTACCTGCGCGCACACCTTCATAGAAGTCATGGCCTCTCTGGAACAGATAAATTGCCAAACAGCAGTTACATGAAAAGAAAGTGTTTGTTGTTTTCTCGGTAACTGACTACAAGTTTATAATCTTGATATACTTTTTTTCTTTCTTTTCGATAGTAAAAACAATTTTTTGCATCATTAAGCAGCTCTTTTCATCTCTGAATGGACGAGCATCCCAACATTGTTTACAGAAGACTAAATGTCTATGGAAACGATCAAATTAATGGTCAGGGTGAAGCTGATTATGGTATTCAGTGCAACTGTGTCTTATTGTTCGATTCTTGAAGATGTGTGGTTTCTTCTGTAACTATTTATTATCTTTTGAGTGAATACCTGCAGAGTAATGTGCATGGTACCATGTAAGCACCTTCCTCCCCCACATGCTGTCCCTGACCAGGATTGCCTTCTTCCACTTCCACCAAATTGCCTGCCCCCGACTGTACCTTAACCCAAATGCAGCCGAAACCCTTGTGCATGTGTTTGTCACCTCCCGCTTGGATTACTCTAAGCCGGTCTCCCCAGCTCCACCATTCAAAAGATCCAGTTCATTGAAACCTTTGCCGCCCGCATACTGACCCGGACCAAACTCTGTGCCCACATCTCACCAGTTCTGGCCAGGCTCCACTGGCTCCCCATCACCGAATGGATCGACTTCAAGATCCTCACAGTCGTGTTCAAAGCCCTTCACTCCCTGGCACCTCCCTACCTCTCCGACCGCCTCACTCCGGAATCCACCACCTGGTGACTCCACTTGACCAGCACCGGCCTCCTCCTCGTCCCTCGCACCCTCCGCCCCACCATCTTAGGTCATGCTTTCAGCCACTACACTACACCCAAACTCTGGAACTCTCGCTCAATCCCTCCGCCTTGCCCCCTCTCTCCCCTCTTTCAAGTCCTGCCTGAAAACTTTCCTCTTCGATCGAGCTTATGGCCACCTCCCCCCGGCTTGGAGTCAGGCTCCGCCACTGTTAAGCGCTCTGAGACACTACCCTGCATTGAGGTTGCTATGTAAGTGCAAGTTTTTGTTGTAATTGTTGTAAATACCAGAAGAATTAGTTGATCTACTAGGTGCCTGTGTTCATAAACTGCTTCAGTTCCAACAAAAGTTGGCACGTGGAGCATTGTAACTCAATGCTAAAACCAAAACCAAAATGTGCAACCTCAGCTGATTATAGACACTGTTGCAAGCCATTGAATAAATTCTACCTGTGACATTAAATGCTCCCATTGAAGCCCACAAAGTGCTGTACAATGAATGGCCAAAGAGTCTGTTGCTAATTGTCCTGTAATAAAAGGACACATTCTGTGGAGCCACTGCTGCTGTCTCACCATGCAAGCCTGGCTGAGCCGATACTCCATCACTAGAACATCTTGCAGGCTCATTACGGCTCCCTGTTCAAGCTGTCGAAAGGTTAGCTTCATGGATGTCGGCGACATTTTCTTCATTGTCTAAATTCCAAAGGAACCACATCATTATAAATGTATGCATTCGCTGGGTGACTGTTCAAATAGGAATAAACTTTGAGAAAGTATACTTTTTATACAGGCAAATCTAAAATCAAAATAGTTTTTTAAACAAGTTACGTTCATATAACGTGCTTAAGCCTCGTTTAATTTTCCAATGTTCTCTTCTGATAATAATAATAATAATCCTTGCATTTGATATGGTGCCTTATCACGTCTTCGAGACGCCTCAAAGCGCTTCACAGTAAAACAAACTGACTCTATATATTTTGTGGGCGAAACCTTCTTCCCAGAAAGTTTGGTCACACTGGGTTGCCTCGTTGATAATATCTTGTAAGGGTGGCCATTCGTGATGTGGGAACCCAAGTAGCGAGTTTTAATAGGCTATTTAACCCTTTACTCACATGTATAAATATATAAATCATTTATACCGATTCTTCCCTTCACTACTACCCAGGCCACTAAGATCAACTGTGGCAATGGGACCTGCTAATGGATCTCCCTAGGCTACATTTTCGTGGCCCTGCCCATAGTCTGCTCTCCTATACTGTAGATCAACATCAGGTTTACAATTAGGTTCATAAACTGGCACATCTGCAAGATCAAAAATGCTGAACTGAAGCATCAATCCATAAAATAAACACAAAAATATCTGCAATACAGACAAAATGTTAATCATTTTGGTTAAGTCACTCCTCTTGCTAATCTGATGTAAATTCCAAAGGTTTAAGAATGTCTGCACTGTTTAGACTTTTTTCACAACATAAAAACTGCCTTAAAGTCACAGATGGGAAAATTTCCCTCATCACTTTGCATCTAATGTTTAGATACCAATTTAAACAGCTGTATTTAATCTTAACTAGTTAGTTTTAGCCGGAAATGCATTTTTTAAAAAAAAATGAGAGCAAGTCTTCCCTTTCTTGGGTTTACCACAAAGGCATCATTCCCAGATTCAAGCAGAGACAGTAGATGAATAGGATTTCACCGAGGGATATTAGGTGAGGCCATATTTGAGTTCAACTACAATGAATCTCATTCCTCTCCTCCCTTTTCAAAATGGTAAATGTGTCTGACATCACTTTCCAGGCTCACACAATAGGTTTGGACAAGATTCCTGTGAGGCTTGAATTATAGTATGCTTCAGTAAAAAACATTATGGTGTCTAGCAATAACCGTGCATATCCTTTGATATCACCTCCATTCTATATATCACAATAAATCAACTATTGAACGATATTGAGCTATATTTTTTGCAGAGCTAAAGCTTCAGTTACTGCCCAATGATAGATGACTTGCTTTCATAGCCTGCAGATATGCCAATTTGAGTGCACGATTGTTCAGTGCTGGACTATGAAGAGTTTGCATGAATCCTGCATTCGATAAAGTGCAGTTTAGATTCCATCTAGTCTTTATCTGTAGCACTCACTGTACCTCCAACTGCTTGAGCGCAAATGGGCTACCATCCTGCATCAGATTTTGTAGAATCTCTTCCACACTGCTGCTTTTAAACAGACTGTAAAACATAGGGTAAATGAAACAGTTTCACAATGGATTCTTAATCTACAATAGCATAATGATACAAATAATACCACTTTGTTCCTCTGATATCAGGTCACTGTTGGTGCGAATGCAGAGAAAGTCATGAGAAACTCTAAGGCCACATTTCTACAAGCCGCTAATTTAAATGTGCCAGTCAGCATATTGCAAACTGGGATGATTTGCCATAAAGCTGAAGAAGCAAAAGTGAATAATCCCGGATTAAATTGCTCATCGGGTAACAACTATTTGAAAAAGCATTTGCTTAGAACAAAAATTTTAATTTTGTAATAGTAGGATTTCAAGTAGGATAATGTCTCAGAGTGCCTCACTGTGGTGGAGGTTGACTCTGAGCTGTGGGGAGAGGTGGTCGGGGAAGGTGACACTGTGCAAATAAAATAGCTCAAAACAGCCAAGTGCATGACTCCCAAGAGGCAACTGCAAATTCGCATCCAAAGGATGCCCATTGTATGAACTTGCCTCAGGTAGGTGGGAAGCATTCATTCCAGGGGACAGGGATCAAAGCACAATGTTCATTCAGCCTGCTGTCATTCACTGAATACCGGTCGATCTAAGAGAAGCAGCAATGAGAAATCCACCCTCGCGCATTTGGCCCCGGTCTCCCGGCTATTAGAGAGCTTTAAAAATGAGCAAATTACAAAGGCAGAAGATAAGTCAGAGGGATTAAAAAAAAACTCACGGGAGTTCTAAAGATCTGAGAAAAATCCTACAGCAGCATGATTTTTTAATATACAATTCTCATGTGTGAAACAGAACTGCTTAGAAAAATAATTCTCTCAAAATGAAGTTGGAGCACACCTGGGCAAATCCAATTTATTGGTGCATAATATTAGTTCATTCGTCTGCTGTATATTATCCACACCCCACACACACACACTATGGACATTGTCTGGGAAGGACATTCAAGGGCAAAAAAAACTTTAACCTCATCTACATGTACCTTCACACGACTTGTACCTTTTAACCTGACAACTCACAATGCTCTTTCCCCCTTGCAGCGAGGAAATTTCATTTAAATAAGCTAATGGGATGAATTTCCATTTATTGTTCAACGTGCTATTGAAAATGGAAACGTTGGTATTTTAAACCCTCCCAGTTAGGTGCCCAAATGAGCAATAAAACAAAGTATTTGTCAATGGAGAATAACATAATTTACATGAAAGAGAACATTGCAATCCATTAAATGCCATAATAAAATTGAAATGTCTGTTTCTGGCAACGGTTACTTCGATCAATTCGCACACACACCAAAATTAAATTTACAGCTGTAAAAGTGATGAAATTCACACCAATTTATGTAATACAGAATAGCTGGGCCAGTCATTCAATTTGATCCAAATTACTGGTGCTCTATCCTAAGTACCTATTGATCTTGTCCACATGGTCAGCCAAAACAAACTTCTTATCTTCAACTGTGCACTGTTGGAAGAGAAAAAAGGGAATAAACAGTTTTCCTTTTAAAAAAGTTTTCTATTATTTGTTTTGTAAAGTCTATATCATTTCTGCCTTCAGAAGTTAAGATTTTTAAAAAAATTAGAACCAGAGGGGAAACTATTGCCTTTATCATCTCCTCAATCAGTATGAGAAGATGAGTCATGCCAATTTAGGAGAAATGCGTTTCCACATCATTTAGAAGTTGTCGTTATCCACTGTTCTCTGCAATTGCCAGTTTTCAATCAGTTACTTGTTCTAAACGTTGTTGAATGCCATCATATCCTCTGAACTTTGGTTCACGACATCATACAATTTCCATTGCATGACTCACATTCACTTCAAAGTGAAGACCTACAATATTGCTCATTATAAGAGGGAGAGAGACTGGAAGAAATTGCCTGGTCTATCAGTCGGCTTGTAAGGCAAATTGACCATGCAGTGTGATGCGGTTCCTTTGGCTGCAGCCAGAATTTCTCCAGTTCCACTGGTATAAAATACAGTACTCACTGTGCTAGCAATTGATATGCAGCCCTTTCAGATTGATGAACAACAGATTTGCAGCATTCCAGATCATTATTCTGTCTAAATAGCTCTTGTACACTACAGACTTTATCAGTTCCTACAATGCAAGTTAGCAGCCTGGGATAATAGCATTGATTCTTTATTGCACTATCCTCATTTGAAGGTTAAGTAAAACTGATCCCGCACACTTCTCGAATACCCAGATAGCATTCCACATACCAGGGGCTGAATCCCTCTTGAATTGTAACTTGAGTTTTACTAAGAATACAAACTTTAATAGTGATCCCGATGTTGTACACTTTAAAAATACCTTATGATGATAAGAATTCAACAAATCTGCAACATCCTCTTTTGAAGGTGACTTTAAAGATACCAAATCTTTCTCCAGCGCAGGGATCTGGGGAAAAAACAATCAGATGTGACCAATATCAATTTTAGACTAGTTGCAATTCTTTTGAACTTCAAGGAGAATCCAAAATGTAACAAACGATAAGCAACAACAACAACAAGATTACATTTGTATAGCGCCTTTCACGTCGGGAGGACGTCCCAAGGCACTGAAGGAACAAATCTTCTGTGTTTTGTAGAAGCACTATTGAAAGGTTCTAAAGAATGGGTTTTAAAAAAAGTGATTAATTTTGGGTTTAAAATTGATTTAAAAAAGAAATGGCTAAATCTTTTTTTTTTACAAAATACACATTCAAAATACAACGGCTACTGAATGATTGTAGATTTCACCTCAACCCAGTGCTCCATGGCTCTAACATATTAATAATAATAATAAACCTTGCATTTGATATAGTGCCTTGTTACATCTTCGAGATGTCTCAAAGCGTTTCCCAGAATACATTGTAAAGTGAATTGAGTGTATATTTTGTGAGCGAAATGTAGGGGCCAATTGCGCATAGCAGTGTCCCACAAACAGTCGTAGATTAAGCTAATTTTTTTTTTTCTGAAGGAATTATTATCCCCGGAAAAGCAACTCGCCAATCAACTAACAACGGGGTTCCTATTTACTGCTAGGTAAACAGAGGCATGTGGAGTAAGGAAACTTGCCCAACGTTTCGCACTGCCGGGAATCGAACCCACTTGCTCTTGCGAGGCGAGTGCTCTAACCACTGAGCTACAGGGCTCCACGGACTAGTATGTATGTTATCTGGGTGAACATTGCACTTTTAACCATCCAGAGAAATTAGGCAATTTATAACGAGTGGACACGTTCCAGTATCTGTGCGCAAAAAGATATCCATTTGTTTTATGTAGTTCTGAAGAAAAAGAATTCCCACTTTGTTGATGAATCGCTGAGTTGAGAAGCACAAATACATGTTTAGCATAATATAGCATGGCACTCCAGTCTCACTGTCAAACATACGAGGATGTTCAGTAATTCCTGCTGTGAATTTAAAGGGTATTCAGGCAAGGCTAAATATACTGCACAACAGCTGGTGCATCAAATTAGAACTATAACCTTACAAGGGGATATTCCAAAGCAAAACATTCTGACACACAACAATAAGGCAGAAACTTGTGCTATGTTTTTTTCTGATGTCCCTCAGCAACCAACTACAGTGGAGTGGAGAATTACCATCCTGTGGTTCATCAAAGGATGAGGCCAGTAGGCTACTGAGACACTGGATTTGATACACATTTTGTTTGTATTCACTGATTTTGAAAATAGTAACAAAAAATGCTATATTTTATTTTCTTCCCTTCTCACATTAATGAGCACTGGCCTAAGGTTCCATGAGTGCTTTCCAGTTACCTTATCCAAGTGAGCATTCATTGCGTACGAGAGCATAGCCAGTGTGGTTTTGAAGGCTATTCAACCATGGGCTGGGCTGGGGTAGGGGGAGAGGAAACAAATCATAATCAAGCTCCAATTTGACAAACACAACTTTTCTGCAGGGATCAGTGTGATTTTCGTTCCGAGCTTGGAACCCTGATTGATTTTCAGTCGCTAGCTTGAGGAACAACGGCCAATAGCTGTGTCCCCATCTGCTGACCTGGCTGAGAGGAGCTAACTCAGCACAGATTGGGGATTGGCCTGGAACCTCACAGGTTCCGTATGAGCCAAACTCTCACGAGGCAGTGGCTTCGACTGCTGAGCCATTGTTGCTCGGGATGACCCAGATTTTTTTTGGAAGGCCTTCTTACACATCCCTTGCCCCCTCCGCTCCACCGTCAGCAGCTGTGCTTTCAGCTACTACGCCCTGAGACACTAGAACGCTCTGCCTCCATTCCGCTGCACTGCTCCTTCCTTGCCCATCTTCAGATCAAATCCGAAGACCTTCCTCTTTGATTGTGCCTATGGTCACCTCCCCTCTCTCCACAGCTCCCCAACTGGTAGGTGCTCCGAGACACTACCCCTCGTGAATGGTGCTATATAAATGCAGGTTGTTGTTGCTGTGGCTGTTTAACAGAGGCAACACATTATTTTCCAGTGGAAAAAGGTTAATTCTAAAGCTTTTGCTCAGTTAGTGTAGAGATTTGTGAAATCTTCCTGAAGGTTTCCCATGATTAAAAAGTACTCTACTTCTGTGCTCCATCCAGAACATTGTATAAACTACTTTTCTGCCAACATAAACATCACCCACCACATAACACATGACTCTGGAGTCAAGGAAATGACCCAGGCCCATATTTATCAATTAAAACAGAAATATGTGGCGTTTAGTTTAATCTCCTTTTCTGGGATGAGCAAATTCCTCTTTAAAACATTGTGATTGATGCCATTGCTCATTTAGATCAGGTCAGTTCTGCACTAGTGAATTTTTTGTCTGAGCAGCACTCACCTTAGTTTCTGGAAGCACATTTATATTATATATTTATATATATTGTACACACACACACACAGACACATACACACACATACCATACATAGAGTTCATAGAGTTCATAGAATCGTACAGCACAAAAAGAGGCCATTCGGCCCATCGAGTTTGTGCCGGCTCTTTGAATAGAGCAATTGATGTCAGTCCCACTCCCCAGCCTCTTCCCCATAACCCTGCAAACCCGTCCTCCTCAAATACCTGTCCACCGCGTTTTTAAAAGTTGTTATCAAATCGGCCTCGACCACCCTTTCAGGCAATGCGTTCCAGATTCGAACAACTCGCTGCGTGAAAAAAATTCTTCTCACCTCCCCTCTGCTTCTTTTAGAGACTGTTTTGAATCTGTGACCTCGAGTCACCGACACACCCACCAGTGGAAACAGTTTTTCCCTTTCTAACCTATCAAATCGCCTCATGATTTTGAAGACCTCTATTAGGTCTCCTCGTCACCTTCTCTGCTCCAATGAGAATAATCCCGGCCTCTCTAGCCTTTCCTCATAATTAAGGTCCCTCATTCCTGGTACCATCCTCGTAAATCTCCTCTGCACCCTTTCCAATACGTTAACATCCTTCCTATAGTGTGGTGCCCAGTATTCTAACTGAGGCCTAACCAGTGTTTTATATAGGTTAATCATAACCTCCTGACTCTTGTACTCTATGCCCCTATTTATAAAGCCTAGTATCCCATATGCCCTTTTTACAGCTTTATCTACCTGTCCTGCCACCTTCAAGGATTCATTTACCTGCACCCCCAGGTCACTCTGTTCTTTTACCCCCCTTAAGATTATATTACCAGCCTATATTACCTCTCCTCATTCTTTCTACCAAAATGCATTACCTCGCATTTCTCCACATTGCCATGTGTCTGCCCATTTTACCATTCTGTCTATGTCTTCCTGCAGTTGGCTACTATCCTTCTCACTGTTTACTACCCTACTTAACTTTGTGTCGTCCGCAAAGATGGTACTTGCTATGGTCTCAATTAACTCAATTAACAGCTACGGAAAGGAGCAATGGTCTAAAATTCAGCAAAGAAAAAGACTTGAAAATTACCTTCTCGGACTCCACAAAATGAGTAGCAATTCCAGCTTGCTGCACATCCCTTCCTTTAATTCGATATCCAGTTAATGCAAGGTACAAGCCAAGTTTCCCTTCCAGTCTTGGCAAGAAAAAGCCTCCTCCTACATCTGGAAAGAGACCTGCATAGAAACACAATTGAACTTGCATTAAACCTGACAATTGTAATTACAGTAGTATTCAACGTTGCTTTGAAATCCGTACAGAATAATGGTTGTTTCAATAAAAAAAGGCAATACATTTCATTATATGATTTAGAAGCTTTTTTTTCACATTTCCATTAAAATTTGGGCATCTCTTGGCTTCTATTTGCATAATGGACGAAACAGATTACATTTGGTCATTCATCTTATTCCTGTTTGTGGGATGTTACTGGTGCAGATTACCTGCTGTGTTTGCCTAAATAACTGGTGGTTGTACACTTCGAAGCAACTCACAGCACCGCAGTTGATGAAGTGCATTATGTTAAAATGTCTTGAAGAATATCACTGCATGAAGTACTTTGAGACAATTTTGACATGATAAGCACTGCATCAAATGCGGGCACCTTTATTGTAAATCAATCAGTAACGATTAATCTTGTTTTTTGACAATCTTAGCACTTACAATTGAAAGTAGACGAAAGTCTGGTAATCCGATTTACAGACGACAATCCGTTTTTTTTAAATTCACATTTGTATATAAGGGGAGTGAGTTTGCTCTTTGTGTTAACTATGTGTACGGTGAAAATTACAGGCGTTTTTCATTATGTAAATAACCAATGATTTTATATATTTTTTTCCCCAATGGTTGTTAAATAAGGGCACCTGTAATTCATTCTGTAACGTAGGTTTACATATTGTTAACACAAACTGCAAATTAGACTCCCTAGTCTACGCATATGTTTTTGCCACTGGTGCTTGCAGAAGGCATTTGATGACAAGCGAAGAGAAGAGGGAAGCACCTTCTAAAACAATATTAAGCCATAAGGAAACCTGAAGCTTTTACTATGTGATCTCAGATGTTTTTATAACACTGCATAAAAAAAGCAAATGAGATTTCTCCTGGTCTATTGGAACGTCTAAAATTGTGTTGCTTTCTTGAACGTCCTCCCATCTTAATCCATCAAGTGTTTTGCAACATGTGCTAACTTCATGAATGGGAGACGCCAGGAAGGCCATAGCATGATCGAGATTAAAAGTGACTTATTTACTACAAAGGAGACGTTAGCATTTCTTTTCAAGAAGCCCAAAGCAAGACTCAGTTGCCATGGTGAAAGCTCTCAAGTCAGATCCAGCATGACACTGCGGTTCTCTGTGTAATCCATTCTTACCACAACAAAAAGGAAGAGAAACTAAAAAAGGAAGAAAATATCCATGAAAACGTATATTTTAACTTCCTTCTACAGTCATGTCTCATTTTATTGCAATTTGTTTCAAAAAAGGCAGAACTAACTGTAATGTATCAATAATTATAATAATAATAATCCTTGCATTTGATATAGCGCCTTATCACTTCTTCAAGACGTCTCAAAGCGCTTCACAGAATATACTGTAAAGTATAGTGACTGTGTATTTTGTGGAAGAAACACAGCAGCCAACAGCGCACAGCAGTGTCCCACAAACAGTTGTGGATTGAGTGACCAAATTATTATTATTATTTTGAAGGGATTATTATCCCCCTTACATTACAGTAGTTACATTTGTGCAATATTTTACAACATCGTGTCTGAAAAACATTTTTGCAGTGAACATTCAAACCCTTTCAAGAGTATCTAATGTACAGATTTCAATGCTAATGGAAATGTTTTGTTTAATGTGAACAGTATTCCTTTAAAATAATCATAGAATATAGAAAGGAAAATTGAAAGCCTGAGTTAAAATTGGTAAGTAGCAATAAATATAGATTAAAATCATTGGGTAATTCTTTCAGTGAAATGGCAACCTTGAAATCATTGCTGTTCAGTGTTTTTTCAAAAATGAGATTTAAGACTGCAGACTGACTTTGTGGGAATAGATTTCTTTCTTTCTGAAAATGCAATTTAAGCCAGAGAATCCTGGCAGCAACAACCACTGGTCCGTGCCGACTTCAGTATGTGACAATATCCATACTGAAGGATAAAATGAAACCTAAATCTTGCAAATTCATCAAGCAATCCTCTCTAGGTGAAAACCAAGAGATAATGCTGTCTATTCTGATATGCTGCTCCCACATTAGACACAGCAGTTGGAGGCCAACTAGAAATTGCTTTGTAATGAAGGGTATTATCAACTCTGGCATCTGTGGTAGAGGCTGACATTGTTCACAATTCAGTACGTTCTGTGTTTTCAAGTACAAGGAGAAATTGGCTTGAGTGAAAAGACAGGAAATCTGCAACAGTGGCTTCTAAAATTATCGAACGTGCGCAGAATCTCATTGAGAATCTCACCAGTCAGTGTTCCGAGGTACATGGATGGGAGCATCTTGAAATGCAGCTTTTATGAGCTCATCTCTTGGTTGATGTGGTGTTTACAGAGAAACAGAGCGTAGATTTCAACAGAAGCCAACATAAGACTGTATGGATTAGCTCGCCGGTGTGCCATAATAGGAGTGGTTCTGCACTATTTGAAAGAAAAAGTACTTCTACTGGTATAAAGTGCCTTGTTAATGTGCCGATGTTGCTTGCTATTGCTGCATATGGTGGTGTATATCAAGTCTCAAGAGCAATACTTAGCAAAATATGAATCCATTTAACTAGGTAGTTTTTTTTAATAAAGGCATTTCAGCCACTGTTGTAAGCTTCATGAATGAAGAATTCACCCAAATTATGTTATTAGTGCCAAATGACTCAGAACATGCTGCAGTGTGCATCAATAATTACTTTTTATTAACTTAGGAGTAGTCCAACGACTCTGTTGTTTTAAAAACATGAAAATGAGAATTTAATGCATCTCTTCCCATCTTTTCCATTACTTGGGCATTGATTTCTTTTCTAGGTATAAAAATTACTCGTTGAATTGAGGCTCTATTCGAATAATAACATGAGGTTCCCTGATTCTGTGTCAGATGCTGAGCATGCTGGCTCAAACAGCAGCAGATTCGAAACAGATGGTTTAACACAAACTAAACATGGGACTGCAAGTAAACATCAAATTTTTAAAAACAACGGGAATTGAGTTTGAGTTTGAAGCTAAAACAGAGGATCGAATGTCACCAGAGGCACAAAGTGTAGACACAGAAGAATTCCTGGCTCCCAACCTCCCAGGCACCGCATCGGAAAGGATGCCTGGTCGTCAGATCGCTGCTGACATCACTTCCCGTGCCTTGCGATCGTGTGGGCCACCTTTCCCGCTCCAAACACCCTCCACGTCCGGGTCGTCGGGCTCCTTACTGCGTGCGGCACGTGTGTGCTCTGCATAGGAAGCGTCGCTCGTAATAATAATAATCCTTGCACTTGGTATAGAGCCTTATCCATGCCATGGAGTCGTCTCAAAGTGCTTCACAGGATACGCTGTAAAGTGTAATGACCGTGCATTTTGTGGACGAAACAAAGTGACGTTGGTTGTGCTGCCTGCGCATTGCTCTCACGTTCAGTATTCATGATGTGACACCAGTATATTTGGATGACTCAGAAGCCGGCGCGCACAGTGACTATCAGCGCACGTTCCAATACATTCTGAGGTTTCAAAGCTTTTTTTTTTTCCCCTTCGCCTGGGGTGATCAGAGAGATCCTGGCTGCAATGCTCTCGTGCCAAACATAGTCATGTCCCTTGTTGGCAAGATGGCCCTGGCATCTATCTCAGCAGAAGATATCCACACAAATACTTCACCCTCTCCTTTCACTCCACCTCCCAAGCCTTTTCCCCTCCCTCCACACCTTCGCTCTCTCCCCTCCCTCCATCTCTCTCACCCTCCCTCCACCCTGCTCCTGCCTTCTCTCCCGTCCACAAATCTCGCCCACTGCCCCCCCCCCAAACCACCCTTGCCCTCTCTCCCCTCCTTCTACCACCCTTTCCCTCACTTGATCCCTTTTTTCAGCTTCTTGCACATTTGAAATTCCTCTTGTTTCTCGTGGAACAGAGGGTCAGTGTGTGGTCAAGCACACACTGCAAATGCACACTGAACAATATTTCAAAGCCGTCAAAAGAGAGCGTGGCTTTACACATGGAACTGGTTTTAACAGTTTACGATTAGAAAAGACCCACAATAAAAATAGGGGAAAAACATAGCCCATTCTGATGGAAATCTGAAATATTTTCAGAGAAGTATTGTTGGTGTGTGTGGGGGGGGGCTGGGAACTGAAAACATGGAGCACAGTCAACCACGTTCTCAGAACAAAAGCCAATTTCAAAAGCAACATGTACTTTGTAAATAGCCTTGAAAAAACTCCACTGAAACCTTTCAAGGCTTCAGGCTTTTTCTGAGTGTTTCATTTGATGTTCTTAGCTTCAAAAAAAAATGTTATTAACCTCTGAATTTGGTGTCATCATCATCAATACAATCACAGTGACCTCCTAAATGGCTCTAGCTCTGGGTGAAAGGAAGCACATAGTGTGAAAACCATCCTGAAAGAATGTTCTCCTACAAAATACAATCACTCCACTTTGCAGTTGATCCTTCAAGATGTCCTCCTGGCATGAAAGGGGTTCTATTAAATGTAAGAACATTATTATTATATTCCCCCCCACCACCCACTATACTTTGTTCTAGATGTGCATTAGTGAAAGGCTTCAGGTTCAACCTCCTTTTTCATTTTAATGCCCTTACTTGTAATAATAATAATCATTACATTACCTTATCACCCACAAAATATACAGTCAATTCACTGTGCAGTATATTCTGTGAAGCGCTTTGAGATGTCTTGAAAACGTGATAAGGCACTATATCAAATGCAAGGATTATTGTTACGAAGTCGTTGAGACGTCTCAAAGTGCTTCACAGAATTTACAATAAAGTCAATTGACTGTATATTTTGTGGGCAAAATTTTCCACGTCCTTACGTCCATAGAAGATCTGAAATGGTACAAACACCTTTGCAGTATTACAACAACTTACATTTATATAGCACCCTTCACAAGGGTATTATTACCTGAAGACAGTCAGAAATATTGTGCTTTCCTTACCTGTGCTGCGACAAGCTGTTCCGACATGTCAGCAAAGGAATCACAACCACCCCGAGATATATATTCACAAGGGAGATTTGGATGAAGAAGGTCTGAGGACTCATTCTTTCAGGATACCCATTGCAGCAACAAACTGTTTGTTAAACAATTCATTCCACAGGTCACATCTCTTTGTGCTGATGGGACTGCACTCTCCTCTATCACAGCATTCCCAAAGATGCAGCCAATTAGACTGCTCATCGTTTTTGCTCGGCAGAATTTCTCAAGGAAGTTTGGTGAAAATGTACTCGTTCACAGCTACCAAATTCAGCCTTTGGCCGTCATCGAATTTTAATACAGTAAGCGTTACGTGAAAAAGATTCCTGTATTTACCTATTGCGGTCTCCGGCATCGCAAATAGTGTTTTCTCTGTCGCCACACGGAACTGCCCATGGACAGACAAGCCGACACCCTGCGAATAAACAATGGCAAAAATCAGAGGACGCACAAACGTTACAAAAAATATTATTAGACTAAAGCACAAAGTTTAGTTCTATGATTAATGGTGGAAGGAGCTCTCTGTTTCCTTACTCGCCTCATCCCTTACCTTCTATGTCTTAACGAAGCAACTCGTGAGTTTTTATAATTCATAGGCCAACTGTAACTGGGTTGAGTGACCATCCCTCCTCGTGTGTGAGCATGAATCTGAGGTTTCGTGGCCTATTCAATCAACCACATGGCTTTCAAAGCTGAAACGCCTGTTTACATACAATATTCATCAACTAGCAAACAGAGGCTCCTGCCCACACTTCAGCTGATTAAACAGATCAGGCCTCAAACCCGCTGGTCTGTATGCAGCTCAGCTAACACCTGAACAAAGCAGCAAGGGCATTTTACTCTGGTTGATGCAGGCCAAAAGCTAACTCGCCAAAAAACAATTTTCATTTTTACCAGTCGAAAATGTATTCTGTCATGCGTGTTGTGTAATAATCCTTGCATTTGATACAGCGTGTCTTCAAAGCACTTCACAATATTTTTACTGTAAAGTGTAATGACTGTGAATTTTGTAGGGGAAGATCACTCCAAAAGACTTTCCTCTTTGACCGTGCTTACGGCAATCTGCCCCCTCCGCCCTGTTCGGTGTCAGGCTCCGTAATTGTTAAGCGCTCCGAGATGCAACCAAGTGAAGGGCGCGATATAAATGTAAGTCGTTGTTGTTGTTGTTGAACGCATAGGAGTGCTTCACAGCTCTGAGAACTTTGTAGAATAAAATAATCTTTATATTTACAAGTTTAAATGCAGTTTAAATTCAATGAAGCTTTTCCTTCACCTTCCCTAAAAACACTGACAACGGCTGGGCTCTGGTACTTTGGCCAAGTGGCCTCATCCATGCGTGTGTGTGACCAGCGAGCATGAGATGCTTATTCAACCACAGGATGCAGCACAGCTCAGTCTGATCTGGCCCTTCTTCAACACCTCCACACACAAACCTTCCGGCAGAAGTCCACAGGGCAGCAATCATTAACAAACCTCAGCCAACCATAATGCTCATTCAGCTCCACTGACATTGTTAGCTCAGCCCAGATCGAGGATCCAAGCATGGGCCTTCTGTTCCATATGGCTCAATACCACGATACACAGTTACCACTGCGCTACAGGAGAGACCAGCACAGCATTGCTTTCGAGCAACCTTTAGTTGCTCCTCAAGAGCACAAGAAAGAGCAGAACTGCTGCATTGTTCAGCAAAGCTCATTCTACATCACAGACTTTCAGAATTAAATCAAGTATTCAAAAGTGAATCCCCAAACCTAATAATAAATTGTGTAAATCTCTGCCCTTTTCACAACATAGTATATGCATATACACAATATACATATGCTTGTGAAGCATTTACAGCCGCTGTGGTGAACTGCAGTTACGCTATTTGAGTTACTGTACACATAGTACTGTTCTAAATAAAACAAGACAAACTATTCAGATCTGGCTTTCGTACACATTTCTAAACGTCCTTTTCTTCAAATAAAAGGCATTGTGGTGAATTTCACACAAATGTTTTGGGAAAATAAGTATGGACGTGTTATTCCGACAGTTTATTTGGAGGTTACTACAGTGGAACCCTGTTAAAGAGTCCTGTAGCTCAGTGGTTAGAGCACTCGCTTTGCAAGTGAGAGACCTGAGTTCAATTCCAGGCAGAGGGCGAAACCTTGGGCATGTTTCCTTACTCCACACAGAGCCTAATAATAATCCCTCCAAAAAAACAAAACAATAATAAATTGGTAATTTTTAATCCATGACTGTTTGTGGGACATTGCTGTGCGCAATTGGCTGCCGTGTTCGCCCACAAATATACAGTCAATTCACTGTACAGTATATTCTGTGAAGCGCTTTGGGACGTCTAGAAGACATGAAAAGCGCTATATCAAATGCAAGTATTATTATTATTATTATTAGAATGCAGTGTTTGGAGGTGTATAAAATCCCAACCAACGCTATAATCGGGCGTGACTGCAGGTGACGCGACAGGTCTTTTGACGCACTGAAGATGCAGGAGCCAGATGGATGGCTCTTTGGAGCTCAAGAGGAAAAGAGAAGGGAAGCAGCAAGTAGCATTGCTAAACGATAAGCTGAAGGGCTGTCTAAAAATGACATGAATGTGCCCGATTTACGTATTTAATAACCATCATTAGCCGACTTGTAAGTATTGATGTAGGTGAATGCAGTGTTCAAATAGGTAATCTTCCACCCTCATATTACTGGGTGGTGAATCTTGTGCGAAAGACAGGTTATGTCCATAAATGACACTTGAGCAGTGCTCCTATGCATCAAATGCACAACACATACTCCTCCCTGTCCATTTGAAGAGCAGATTACACTTGGCGCAGTGCAGCCACTCAAAGGTAAATTGCACAGAATAACTGTGGGATAGAAAACGCATTACGGAAATGCTCGCCATGGTTTAAGAAACAATCCCACTTTCTGCCAGAGAGAGAAAAAAATAGGCCTCGAGTCAAGCAGTGATTGATCAGAGTGACCTTTACAATGGGAATGCGGAGGAGATGAGTTTGCAACTGGCAAGCACTACTGTTAAGAGGGAATCAAGAGAGATTAAGCAACAGATGACATGTTAATCTGAACAGCAAAGCCTGACCTGGAAGGGGAGCAGAGTGTGAGCTTCCTGTGTTGCTTTTATGCTCCATTCAAAATATTTAGCATCGAGTCCATGCTGCCAAATTCTACATGCCGTTCTCAAAATTGGCACGCATGGACAAACTGTGGCAGAGCGTAAAGAGGAGTGTAAAATGGATTTACAACATTTAGAAAACATCTGGGAATGAAATGTTAAAATTGCTTTGCAAAAAAAGTTATATATAGAATAGAGTGCAGCTGAACTTTTGTAAAGGTCAGAATGGAATAGAGCAGCGTTCAAGCACCACCAATACCACTCCCTCATGGACTGTCAGGAGATACGCTCATTCATCTAGGTCAGTATGGGACAGACTCGCCATTAGGCCTGCCAACACCAATTCCTGGTGGACTGTCCCGAGACTTGTCATCTGGTCAGATGTCCTGGAGAATCCTGAACGCAAATATCAGGCAAGACAGTATCTCAAACTCAGGTATTCTAGACAAGTTGCTCTTATCTATATGTAAAGTTGCTCTTATCTATCTGGGCAAATCTGAAATGTGATTTACCATAATTTTTATAAAACTAATAACAATTTTCAAATGTCCACTTTCCCTCTGGGGCAAAAGAGATTAAGGTGGACCAGAGTGGGTCACAACAGCAGCAACAAAATTACATTTGTGAAGCGCCTTTCACGTCGGGAGGATGTCCCAAGGCGCTGAACCATCGGGGATCAGGACCTGAGCGTGGGGGGGCAGGGTTGGGATGATGGAGGGCAGAGAGATAGGAGGGCGGTTGAAGGCATGGTCGAAAAGGAGGGTCTTGAGTCATGTCTTGAAGGAAGTAACTGAGGGAGCAAAGCGAAGGGATTGTGGGATAGAGTTCCAAAGGGTAACTAGTTGTCCCAGGAACAGAACCAACAGTTAAAATTACAGATTGTTGAAATTGGAACTAAAAATAGGAAGAAAAGCATCTCACAGAGAAGTTAAACCCTTCCATTGTTGACCCTTCATTTGTTTTACCAGTGAAATGTCCACCTTGTGATAACCATTAAATTGGCCATTCATTTTTCGTGGGTCACCTTTGTGCCCAAATTGCCCGCTGTACTTGCCATGAAATACACAGTCACTACACTTTACAATATACTCTGTGAAAAGTTTTGAAATGTCCTCCTCCACTTTATCAAATGTATGGATTATTATTAAATCTATCAATTATTCAGTGTTACATTAAACAACATTGATAGAATTGAATGGAAAAAAACCATAAAATCTAGATTTGCCTTCGTTAACATGGTGTGCCGGCCATCATTTTTAGGGGCAAAGAAAAAGCACACGAAACAAGATAGTGAAAGCATGAGAGCTTTGTGATTGCTACTATTTCGTTCCAGCATTTAATAATATGGGAGTTTAGGTCCCAAAGCTAACACCTGCAATCTCGATTATTACTTTCATACCATAGAAATTAATTGTAAACAGTCGCTCTTTTTAGAGTTTGTTATTCGGGAATGCTCCAGTAACTCTGAGAAAGCTTTTTTTAATCTCAAAAAAATAATTTTGCCCTGAGTGCCAGTCAGCATTGGAGAATTGAGTCCAATAGCAGTTTTATCTATAATAAATAATAATCCTTGCTTTTAATATAGCTCATTTATCATT